GAGTCCTCCCAGGGCTCTATCCTTGAAACTACATTGCTTCTGATCCTCATCAAAGACCTTCCTGATGTAGGGGAATAAATTTTCAACGATCACGGAATTGCGGAATTGTTAGTCTTAAACAAAATCTGGGTTTTTAATGTAACTTTCAATAATAAATAACAAATTAATTATTTGATTTTTTTTTTTTTTTTTTTTCTTTTCAGATTTCTTTTTAATTTTTTCAAAACTTAATAACTGTCCCTCCGATTTTGTTAAGCATTTTAATAAATATAACAATAATATAATAGTTATTTTCCTTACAAAACCTGAAAAATAATTAAGAACAAATGTTGACAAAGAAAAGTGGGTTGTTGATTTTCTGAGAATGTTAGCTAGTCTGTTTTTAAATATTTTAGAACTTTTCTAAGAAACTGCATGTTGCAAACGGGATGAAAACAGCTCAGTTGTGGCCACAGATCCATTGCTAAAGTGGAAATGGAAGACAGACATTAGTTGATGTCAAAAATGGAGGGGAGAGAGAGATGAAGATCAAATCAATAAGTTTAACAAATTCATTTCCTTTAAATGCTATCACATGCCTACTATACAATTTAGAAATAAAGAAGAAACACCATTCCATGAAACAACTGGCTTGTCTAAACTTACCGTCACACAGGGTTTTTTTTTTTTCCCCCTGGATTAATAATTGCATCATCTTCAGTGCTTCACCATTGTAAAAAAAATTTCCGCTCAACTGCAACAGAAGACAACAACAATTTTGTTGAAGAGTAAAGACGTACAAGATGATTTTGTCCTTGATTTTTTTTAAAATGTGCACTTTGTCTGACATTTCCCTACACAAAATTGACAAAATGAGGTCATTCATATTAAAACATTGTAAAGAAGGTGGTGCTATTCCAAGTATCAATTGTGTTAGGTAACTTCATCTACCAAAATTGTTTGCTTATCACTTTGCTGCCCTGAAAGACAAACTTGCTAATCAATCAGCCATCATCATAAGAGACAAACAACTGTCATAGCCACAGCATTTTGAATGTAATTGCAAGCATTCATGGGGAGTCATTTCTCATTGATGTCATAACCTTGCGAGAATACAATCATCAAACTGTAAGTCAGGCATGAATCCAAGCTGCAACTCCTGTGGATATTGCATTTGAGGATATTATTGCCTTTGTAACAGATTTTGCAGCCTATTGCAAAAAAAGCTCATCAGGAAGTGTTGTCAAATGCCTTTGTGAACAGTTGCCATGTGTTGTGCTTAGCACATATTTTAAATCTTGTTGATGAAGTATTTTCACACTGGCCAGTATTTGATAACGTTACCCAGTTCACTACTGTCAGCCTTTTTTAAAAAGCCTAGTCGGAAAAAGCGATACTTAAAAATGGCTTGAAGGTCCCTTGCCTAAGGAATAAGTGAAACTACTCCCTGTACCAGTGGCAACCAGATGGAATTCCTGGTTTAATACAGCCAAATATCACTTATAAGCAAGAAAAGAGCCATGGCCTTGCAGTAGATAGGATTGCTCTCATTTAATTACAGCTTTGACAAACTTAGAAGAAACTAAGTCTTCACTTGCATGTGTTTTATATAACATGATGGAGGATGTAAAACAGTATTTGCATAATGGTACATCAAAATCAACATTTGGTCTAGAAACTGATTGCCTTCTGTTTGAACTAAGAAACAGAAAGGGGGAGAGTTATCTCAAATTTCCAAGATTTTTTTCAATACATCTTTTTTGAAACTGAATAAATACTTCGATACCCACCCTGTGTATAACTTTTACAAGGCAGCTCACTTGTTTGATCCTAGACAGCTACCCTGTACAGGCCATGATCTATACATTTTTGTAGCCATCAAAGACTTACAATATCTTTCTACTGATCTTCTTGAAGAACTCAAAATGTATGTGAATTACCAAGATGATTTACCAAATCCTTTTAATATCCCCTCATTTTGGAATGCGAATAAGATCAGTTTTCCTCTTTTGGAACAGATTGTCATATGGATGCATGTTAACAGCATAAATGCTGAACATTCATTTTCTCAAAAATTTACTCAAACAACATGAAAGTCTTATCAATGAGAACAATGTATTACAATGGAGATTTAGTGAAGAGATTTGAAGATTAGAGATTTCCAAAATTAAGAAATTAGCAATTTTAAATTTGTGCAGTTTTTCAACTTGGAATAAGTTGTTTTATTTAAATTTTGAATTAATGTCTAATTTGTTTTTTTATATTTTGTTACAAAGATCCAGTTATTATGGTTTAATTACTGTTTTGTAAAATTTTAGTCAAAATGTTTGACTTTATTCAGATATTTATTATTGAGATTCAAGTTATTGGCTGTTGATACTTTAAATTTGATTTTTACATTATGAATCAATAATTATAAATCAATCTAAATACTTTTACTTAAAAAAACAAAAACAATTTGAATATGTTCTTAAAGAAGGAAGCTCTGATTAAAAGTTTTACCTCCAAAGATAATTATGCAACAGTAACATTCCATTGTTTTATTGTCTAGTCATGTGACATTTTTTTATTTTTACATATAATTTATTTTTGGATTTTAACATTAAAAAAAAGATTTGTAGATATGTTATTCTTTATATGCAATAAAACGTTGAATTATGTTTTTGTTTTCAGTTTTAATTATAATTATAGCATATTGCAATTTTCTCATAAAATACTGTAAAAATGGAAAAAAGCGGAATTTACCAAAAGGAAAAAAAATCGAGGAAAATTTAAAATGGAAAATTGGGGGCCCTACTGATGTCATCAGTTCTCAACAATATATTAATACAGATGATACAAATATTTACTCCTGTCTTGGTAGCAAGTCTGGCAGATTCAGCAAAGTAAAACTGGCAACTGCTCTCAAAAAGGACCACCAATCAGTCGTTAACTGGAGCAAAAGAATGGCTTGTAAATTTGAATGTCTCCAAAACAAAACTACTTCCATTTAATCATCATTTTCTGCCTTCCATTACCATGGTTGATGCTAAACTCCAGGAGTGCAACACTTTGCACTTTCTTGGGCTCACGTTTTCCACTGACATGAAGTGTAGTGATTATATTAAATCAATTGTAATGTCTACTGCTAGGAAAGGATGGCTCACTGTGTCAGGCCACACAATTCTTCTCATCAGAAACCATCTTGCACATTTATAAATCTACCTTTTGTCCATGTCTTGAATACTGCTGCCATATCTGATCTGCTGCTATTCATTTCAAAGTTCTTGACAAAAATCAAAGAAAAATTTGTAATGTAATCAATCCTGACCAATCTTAACTTCAGTCACTTTCTCACCAAAGTGATGTACCTTCTCAGATATCTTCATGTCAATTGTTCTGATGAGCTTTCATCTTTGGTACCTCAACTGCATGAATTTAAGTGTGATACTAGATTAGAAACTAGGTCTCGGAGTTTTACTGTTGAACTAACTAGATGCAAATGTATGCTTTATTCTAATAGTTTCTTCCCCCCCCCCCTGTGGAATTCCCTTTCTAATTTCTTGCTTCCCTACCACCTAGAAACTTCAAAAGTTTAAATTCTATATCAGTCACCATCTTCTGTCTTCCTGAATCCTGTACCTTTATTGTCTTTTTCCTCATTTCTCTTCATTAAATTCTCTTTCATTCCCTATAACCCCCTGCATCCTAGTGGCATTATCACCATACTTGGGGTAAAATTATTAAAAACAAACAAAAAAAAACATTGACTTGTCTAATAAAATCTGACATAGAGCAAACAGTTTGTCATTGTCATGACAATCACTGATATCAGGTGTCACCATTGTTAAGGACATAACTCTAATGCAACAAATTGACAAAAATTTAGGAATATAATGTATTAAGATAATTTGTGCCTGAAATCTGTATCAAATCTTTAATGCATGTAAAAAAAAATATTGCATTTGTTTCTCTGAAGCATGGGTAAAATATTCAAATAAGTGTATTAATGAGTATTAAGAACAACAGTTTTTCTTAAGTTCATTCACACATTCTAATACATAGTAATTATATTGGTACATGACCACTTTGCCAGTATTCTTTGTTCTAGAATAACTTTTGCTGGACCAACAAAGATAATGTCATAATTCAATAATATGCCTTTGATCTACTAATTCTTCACATGTTTTTAAAACATCGGGAATGTTAAAAACTTAATAAAAAATTGCCTTAATTTTCCTCATCTAATACACTTTAAAAAAATATGGAATACTTAGTCTTTAAAGAACACAGTCCTCATTGGTTTTGAAGTTGAATAAGAGATATACAATTTAGGAGTAAGTATGGTGGATACACATTACTCTTATCGCAATAATTGAGCTGAATAGTTATTAAGAATAAGAATTTTGATGTCTTTCAGTGACATGATGTGTTGGTGGTTTAATGGATACTGACATTCACTTTGACACAATTGTTATTGGAGAAAGGTATGAATCTATATTTCCACCTTCTCAACTCTAAGTTAAATAGTAGACTGGGCTCTCTCGCCTTGTGTAGCTACCAATATGAGAGAAGGGATACTCTGGATTTAAAACTTGTTGGGCATGGTGCGCCTTGTAAAAACCTACTTGTTGAAAAAACTGCAGCAGCATCAAGCTTGAAGGCGGCAATGGAAAACCACTTCCCTATCTTTCCCATGGCAATTCAGATGATAAAGAAACTTTAGAGATCCGGGATTTCCTTTCATCCGGAAGAGACATGAAATTAAAGAAAGAAAAAATCTTTTAGTATGCCTACCAATATGCAGTGTGCTCATACTCCCCCCCCCCATCTACCCTCAATTACCTTATACTAATACCTCATTTTCTAAACATCAAAAACCCTGGTAAGTAGAATACCGTAGTTTTATTTTTTTTTTTTTTTTTTTTTTTTTTTTTTTACAGTCTATTCACATAATTTTATTTTACCTTTTATTCTCAAATATATAAAATAGTAATTTTTGAGTTGCAAGTTTTCATTCTTTCTATTCTTTCTCTTTTAAGGTTTATCTGGAAACCCATATGATTTAGAACATCGTCGACAAGTATTTGGTTCCAACGTTATACCCCCCAAACCACCAAAATCTTTTTTACAACTTGTTTGGGAAGCATTACAAGATGTCACACTTATAATTTTATTAGTAGCTGCTCTAATATCATTAGCACTATCATTTTATAAAGTACCTCCAGACCCAGATGCAGGTGAGTATCATTTTCTGACCCTCTTTCTCTTAGAATTAGTCATTTATTTACTTTTTTAGACTAACTTTTTCATACTTCATTTTTATAACTTTTAAAGGGATAGACTTAAATTTTTCAAAATCAGTTAATGTTTGATGGCTGCAATGGTGAATTAATAAGTCTGCAGCCTAAACTGTAGCGATTTGATCTGAAATTTTCATGCTATGATGTTTGGTTTTTATGATCAGCTGCTGAATGATATTAAAAAAATCTCTTGTGTAAAATAAATGTACCCTGCTACGTATGTATCCTACGTATGTATATAAAAGGAGTATTGAAAAGTTAATACTTCAAATCACCAAATATGACCAAATGTCAGAGATTTGGGGTGGAGAGTCTTAAGATGAGAACTTTTCAGCACTCATTTTTTTCTATAAAACATGTACTTGCATAAACAAATTGCAGTAGTTTCAAATAGTTACCTTGACATGACAGGTTGATTTCCATTACATAATTTTGCTATTTGAGAAGCATGACAAACATCCTAACTTTTAATTGAAGTCTGTAGTGAGGAAGAGCAGGCAGCTCCCTAGAGTTGAGGAAAAAGCTTTGTGAATTGACTTGTATGGCTTGATCTTAGCATGAATCTGTTGTAACAGCTTTAAGTTAATTTCTTTCACTACATCATTTGTTGGAGTCAAAATCTCGCTCTGAGTTTCTAGTTCAAGGTCATTTTTACATTTAAAACAGCTGAAAAGAAATAATTTAATACTAGAAGTTTAGGATTTTTGTCTGTAAATGTTTTATGAACAAAACTAGAAAAAAATATTTTAATCCACAACTGACCATTGATAGAGTAGGTATCTTTTTTTTTTTTTTTTTTTTGTGACTTAAGCAGACTAATAATCGAATTTGGTCTCTTCTACTCAAACATCTGAAATGTCAAACGATATTTTGTGCTTTATACCGAATGCAATATCAACATTTTGATAGAAATGACATTCTTGCCCTTTAATGACCTCTAGTGATAACTCCACAGAGCTCATGTCGCAACTGAATGTTTTGTTGCAGCAAATTAGGTCACTGGGTCTTGTCATTTGAGTATGGTCATAGTACAGACACATGCATACACAAACAGGAGTTTGTAAGATTAATATAGACTTGCATAATATCAAATACAGTAATATTTTTGTTGGCTTATAAGATTTGTTTGGTTTCATGTCAGTTGAAAGAAAGATTTCTAGTTCAAGATTTTGATATTTAGTCTCTCATAATACTGAGCACAGTGCAATGTAATATATATATATATATATATATATATATATATATATATATATATATATTTATTTATTTTTTTTTTTTTTTAACTTTCGTACTTTAATATATGTGTACATTTGTATTTGCAGAAGATGAAGAAAAAGAATCTGCTGATGAAGCTGGATGGATAGAAGGTTTAGCCATCTTAATAGCTGTCATTGTAGTTGTATTAGTAACTGCCTTTAACGATTGGCGGAAAGAGAAACAATTCAGGGGATTACAGAGCAAAATTGAGCATGAACATAAGTTTTCTACCATCCGTGCTGCCGAAGTCATTGAGATTCCTGTTGGTGAACTTGTTGTGGGTGATATCTGCCTGGTTAGGTACGGTAAGTATATCATCTCTTCCAATAAAATTTGGTTGAGGCCTTCTTTGTAAAAATTTACCTTTTGTTTTTTCTCACTCTCATCACAAGCAAAATATAAAAACTAAGGCTGTCAAAATGAAACTTCACATAATTCATTTAAACAAATTCAAATACGGGCATATACTTTATCAATATGATCTTTTTGTTGGACTTTTTATTGCAAAATGGTTTGTTTCTTAAACTTGATTACTCATTTTATAAACTGTAGAGATATGTGATGATGCTCATTAAACAAGCTGGAAAAGAAAGAATGACCTTTTAATTGTTCATGACAGCTCAAAGCATTTGTGGGCAACATTCTTGTGTATCTGATCAATCTCTGTCAACATATTTTGGTTTGAGACAAGTGTGGGCTGAGAGCTGTGATTTGACTTTTTCCTAATTAAGCTGGTAGGAAGGAGTTCAAGCACCATAGGAGGAACTGTTTTGCCAGCTAGGTGTCCACTCCAATGGGCACTATAAGGAGGGAACCCTATATGACATTCTTCACTTTCTAATTCCAAAATCTAGTGCCAGCTGTCCTATTTCATTGAATCACATGAATAAACCAAAATACTCCTTTCAACTGTTTTTAGTCATCCATGAATTTTTGGCAATGGGGTTACTTTTTGACTGTACCACTTTTTCTGCCTTAAAGAAGTGGCACCTAAAACCCAGCCAGATGCTTGTCTAAGGCTTAGCACTAGAAAATGACCTACCTTTGTTGGTAAATTTCTGTTCTATTTCAAATCAAATGTTCCCATAACTATGAAATAGTTATATATGGTGATATGGCATTTTAAATGATCACATATCATATCTGATAGATTATAAAATGCTTTATGAATATAGAATAAGCTGTGCTAGGGGTAGTTTTGCCCCCACACTGCAAATTGCTGCAAAACTAAAACATTAACTTAAAAACTCGAGTTATGTTCTTAAATAGCCAAACTCAGTCAGAAATATCTAAACTGTCAGTGGTATATAAAAGCTTTCTTAGATCAATGATTAAAAATGGCTTATGCCAAATGAAAACTGAAGGTCAAAATGAGGACTGTCCTTCTTTGAACCTTGTGGACTGGCACTACAGGATCACAAACAAAAAACTGTACCAAATACCAGAATCAATATTGATGACTTTCAGCAACAGCTGAAATGAATAGCATGTGTAACTTGAAGAGAAAATGACATAATAAAGATGTTGTTTCACACTGCTTCAAACAAAAGTTTATGAAGGACGACATCATCAATAATGGAAAGAGCAATAACATTTACTGAATCGAGAAACCTATTTTCCTGAATAATTGTTTTAAGAGAAAGATTTTATAAATTTCAATCAATCAATGAATACCTAAGATTTCCTTATAAGGAAACAGTTAATATTACCTTTATTTTTTGTGTGTGTATATATATATATATATATATATATATATATATATATATATATATATATATATATAGTTTTTAAGATGTGCTATATTTATAAGATTGCATTGAAGCATGAAACACTTGCTGCTTGGTGTTGACTTCAGTGTCCACTTGTGTGAGTGTATGTATATATATATATATATATATATATATATATATATATACACACACACACATCTATCTTATTCGAAATAATTTGGCATTTATAGCATAATGACACTGAAGAGAGCAAGTGTTCAACTACAAAACACTATTTTCTCCTCATAGTCTCCCACATTAGCTATGTATTTTCAACAGCAGTGAATAATAAGAGCCTGGATTCCTACACTCATCAAAAAATCTGCAATAACAGAAGCCACCCCCTTTTTCACATCAAGAATGAGGACATGCATAACTAACCACCTATCTATGCTGACATTCTCTGTAAATGTTCAGCATCCTTTGATGAATGTCAATAGGTACAATTATTTTTTTTTATGCATAGCTATATTCAGTAACACATGCCTACTTCATTCACACTTTCATGTCAGACACCATTTTAACAGACTGTTGCTAAGCTACTGTCTGAAACAAAAGACAAACAAATTTGGGTTATAGGCAGAAATGTTCAATCTCTACTAATCTCATGAGATAGCATAACACAATAGGCATTACTTTAAAAACAACCTTTTTTTATTTATATATATATATATATAATCTGTATTATTTTTCCTATCACCTCTACACCTTTTTCTTGTTTAGGTTAGTTGGAGCCTTACATGTACATGGATTCATTTACACAAGGAATATGTTAACTTTTATCACTCTGTATGTGATTTCATTTGCTGTGCAAAAACTTTATTCTGCCATTGAAGATGACTCCGATCCTTGAATTTGTTTGAATTTCATGGTTGTGTTGTCATATCCAAGATATGTCAAGACCTTTGAGTGAAATTAATAATAAGGTTACTGCAATTGAGAAGCCTTGAAAAAGAATGCCATAGAAAGGGAAGTAATATTAATGGTGCTAAAGATTAAAAAATCTAATCTTATTCTTCAAAATATTTATTATAAATATTTGTTAATGTGTCCTTAGCTTTAGTGATCCAAATTCTCAAATAAATCTACTTGGATATGGGGTATGAAAATAAATGTTTAAAAAGTCTTATGAGTTTAAGCTTAAAACACCTATATCTGTACCAAATATCAATTTAATGAATCTACAGCAGCTAATTGGATTTCATTTGTTTTTAGATGCATTAAACACTCGCTTATTTTTGTGATCTGATCATCTTTGTATAGGTTGATAGAGGAGGCTTTCTTTCGGGGCAATCTCATCTTATTGTTTTTTTTTTATTGTATCATTATTTATTCAAAGTTATTTACAATGCTTTCAATCAATCTGTAATACATGTTATGTTTCTCATGAGGAAATCAAGTAAGACTTTTAGGGTTCTGTTCAATTGAAGAGTAGAAATGAAACAAATTTTACTATCCTTGTCTGTTTAAAGTAATTCTCTTTAGTTTGCTCTTTAGACAGTCCAATGGGCTAAGCTACAACTGTCAAAGTGTGACCTTGCTTAAACAAATGGTTGTCTAGACAAACTGTGATACCCACGTATTGTACAAAACATTACTTGGGGGAAGGTGATTGTTAGACACTTTTTAATGTCTGGTTTTTTCAAAGAAATAAAAGAAAAACTCAATGTTGTAAATATGTATGAAGAAAGTTACATTGTTGGGCTGTAAAAACTGTAGTTGACAAAAGTATTGAATATATTTCAAGTGTGGACCTTAGAATTTTCAAACTGTTAAAGCTGAAATAAAATAGCTTGATAATTTAAAGAGGAATTTAGACTAGAGTCTTGTACTTTGTAACTCTTAGATTCTAATAATTAGTTTTATATTACTATTAGAAAAACAAAAATCTCAGTTTTAAATGTTTATCAAAAATGCTATATTGTTAAAAAAAAGAAAGCTCTAGTTGACAATTAAGTGTCAAACATTTAAAATCTGTACCTCAAAATTTTCAAGTGAAATTTTCTATATAGAAAAATAAACAAGGCTTGCTGAAAATGCAAATTTAACTGTAAAATGGTAAAAACTAAAACCCCAAAAAACTGTAAAATGGCATAAAAAAACAAAAAAAACTCCTTTCAGTGATAGATTTTTATATATATATATATAAATGTGTGTGTGTGTGTGTGTCTGATTGAATAAATTACAGACATTGTGTCTACTAATTTTTTACAAAATCCATTCATACTCACGAATAACCTTCCGTGTATTGATGTTAAAGGATGAGAGAAATGTGCTATAGCTGTTTAAATATCTTTTATTTTCATTTCCCAAGTACTTTTGATCTTCTTCCAAGATCATCTTCAGGGGTGCAAATAGTACAATAGTTCATTAGTACAAGTATTTATACAAAGTAATTTTTACATTGTGCTTTTAAATGTAAAACAGTTGACAATGTGCTGAGCATTCATTAGAATGTGAAAAAATCCATTATGGAATTATGAATGGATTTTGTTAAAAATTAGCAGGCATAATGTCTAATTTATTAAATCAGACATTTGCTGCCTAAATACACACACACATATATATATATATATATATATATATATATATATATATATATAGGGGTTTATGGGTCAAAAACTTGTTTGTTTGTTTTTTATTAGAGAAAGAAGCAATATAGATATAATTTTATAATATATAGAATAAAAGTAGTCTGTAATATTTAATTTGAAACAATTTGGGCTTTAGTTTCAATATGAAACAAATCTGATTATGATTTTTAGAATCAAATAATAGAATATCAGGATTGAATTTTCAAAAAATTGGTCTTCTAAAGCACAAGCTATAAATCTTGTGATGCATGGATATTGAATGAAACATTGTTTGGGGAAAGCCAGACGTTAACCACCTTTTTAATATCAGTCTTTCAAAGAAATACGGAAAAAAAAAATAATCATTGTGGTGAAATGCATCAGAGAATGTCAATTTGCCAATAAAAAAAATAAAAAAACTCTAGTTGACAAATGTATGGGAAGCATAATTATTAAGCCCAACCATCATGTTATGAGTCGGATTAAATAATTTTCTCAAAATATCTGAAAAAATAAAACAAAGCTTGCTGAAAATACAATTTGGCTACTTTACTGCAAAACACACACACACACACACACACACACACACACACACATATATATATATATATATATATATATATATATATATATATATATACACACACATTAGTTGTCCCCCCAGTATTAAATTAAATCCAAATTAACAAGTTCAAGTAAATGGTTTTAAAATGTTTCCAGGATAAAGAAGATTCAGAATGCATGTGATTTTATAGGTCTATTAGACATTTTGAGAGAACCCTGGACACACGCAGAACTTAGACAGATATATATTAAAGATATAAAATACCTCAAATAAATATCCTGTCTGCCAAGTAAATAAGGTTGTAAAATTAGCCTTAAATTTAAAGAGTAACTTAGATTATAAACATGTACTTTGTAACCCTTAGATTCTAATTTGTTATCAATAGAACTCATCCTATTTTTCCTTGTCTAATTGTTTTATTTTCTTAGTTACAATTTTAACAGCACAGTAAACTTTAATTTTTTTTTTTTTTGCCTAGATATGAATTTGACTGCTAGAATTTGGTTAAAATTCACATTTGCTTTATTTATATATATATATATATATATATATATATATATATATATATATATATATATATATATATATATACACACACACACACACAGAATTAGCATTTTTTGATTATTTGTCCATTAACTCTGTGTTAGTCACCTTGGATTTCTGAAAGGGATTGTCTCCTGGCATCTGCCTACCATGACAACTGTACTGCACATACTGCTAGACACCCTCAGTGAGTCAGGAGAGTAGTAAGAAGGAGCAAAAGAAACAAATTGCCAACTAAGAATTATGGGTACTTTAAAAATTTGTGGATAATAAAATACCCATTGTGACTAATTCAGGGTTAAGTCTGTTTTTATGTAGTATGATTTTCAAAATGGGCATTTTAAAAAAAAAAAGAATATATATATATATATATATATATATATATATATATATATATATATATATATATATATTCAGGTAGTTGTGTTTTAAGAATAACAAATCAGTTACAAACCTGCTGTAATAATTTGTTTTTTTCAGTCATGTTGATTAGTTTCTCACTGATATTCATAGTCAATATTTAATGTGAAATTTTTGATAAATTGGAGGGTGGGTGATTATTTATGGTTTATTAAAATTTTTGCTATTTTTTTGTCTTTTTCTATTTCTTTTTTAAAAAAAAAAATGTTAGTCTCAAATTTGTGATATTTCAAGAATGGCTAGGATTAGAAAGCTTTTAAAGATATGACTTTGAGAAGAATAAATTTTAAGAAAATTGACTATTTCAAATTTGTTAAAAATTTATAATTTGGGAGGTGGGGTAGTCTGAGTTATTGACTTGACAATTGTTTATCCGCTGACCAAACTTAGGTGTTGTTGGGCTCCAGTCAGAAACTTTTTGTGGGGCCCTTTTGTAGGTTCACAGCTAATTTAGTTGTTAGATATATTTAAAAGTTTTAACTTTTTTATAAAAATCTATATCAGTCAGTTATGTGCCATGCGTGATACATGCTTAAGCTATCATGTATCTTTCAATAAATGACTAACGAGGCAGATTTTTTCCCGCAGTAGGTTGTCATTTCTTTCTTCGGTAGACTAATTGCCATCCAAAGCTATAGAACCCGGTCTGTCCTGCTATTTACCTATAGCTGGGAGGATGGGGGTGTTAGAGAAGTGGATTCATACCTTTCCCAAGGGTATTAGCATATCATAAGTGAATGTAATGGATTTGACTGGAATTCAAGCTTGGCTCTCCAATTCCTCAATCTGAGCTGCAATCCATTAATCCACTGTGCCTCCCACCAAAAAAATCTCTATACTGTTCTATAATTAACATTTAATTCAAATACAGTTAAATAAAGTATAAGAAAACATGATTTACTAACTTTTTTTTTGATAAGGCTAAACTAGATTACCCTAGCACGAGACCCAGTTGGATGCAATGGGTTCACTTTGCTTAAATGTAGATATTTTATTCAATAAACAAACCTGTTACCTAATTCTTTCTAGTAGAAGACTGTATTTCCATTTTTTCTTTTTGTTTTTCTAGGTGATTTGCTTCCCTCAGATGGAATCATTATACAGAGTAATGATTTAAAAGTCGATGAGAGTTCATTGACTGGTGAATCTGATCATGTGAAAAAAGGTGTTGATAATGACCCAGTTCTTTTATCTGGTAAGTTCAAAGTAAACACTTGTTCTTTTAATTGAATGTGAATATAAAAAAAATCTATTGTATAATATGTTTATCTTCAATTTTAGTGTTTGAAATGTTTTTTTGCATGCTGAATACGGAATTACTTTTCTTAAAATACTTTACCTTGGCTCATATTCTGAGTTCACCATATTTCTATAAAATCACATAATAATTGTGCTTGTCCTGCCCTTCGTTAGTTCACATGATGGTTACGCCCTACCAATACCTCCATAAATAATGTACTATTCTGTTTTGATTGTGTGGAAGGACAAAGAACCTATCTGAGACGCTACTTAGTTTCAGTAAAAAAAAAGTGTTTAATGTCTCCTAATACCTCATAAATAATGGACTATTTCATTTTGATTGTATGGGAAGATGAGACATATCAAAGACACTATTTCAGTCAGAAAATGAAAGAAAGAAGGGAAAATAGAAGTATTTAACATCTGTTTGAGTGAAATTATTAATTTCAAATCTTTTTCATTTGTACCTCCTTACTTCTTAAAATAAAAGCCAGCATTCATATTTATGATTGTTATTGCAATATTTTGTTAAAGTTGTTAAGCTCAAATATTTAATGATGCAATAGGGGAATTTCTACAAATGTTTTATTGTCGTAGAACTCGCCATGAGCTTATTCAATCATTAACTGAAGAATTAAGATTCATCAGAAATTTAAAATAGGAAAACCATGAAATTTTCACTGGTTAAAATTAGTGAAATATAATTCCACTTTTGTAACCAATGAGAATTTGTAAAAGGAAAATAAACATAGGAATTTGAACAGACTTCATATGGACATCTTGCATCAGAAATATGTTAATTGATTTTTGTTTTATGGCTTATAAACCTCTTGCAGGTTATTTAAAACTAGAAAATATTTTTAGATTGTAAAAATTTTATGGAGATAATAATGATTTACTGATACAAATCCTACTAATTAACACATAGCTGAGAGGAGAAGAGGTGAATTCATACTTTTCCCAAAAGTATTTTCACATAAAGAATATAACAAACTCTATTGAATTTGGAACTTGGCTCTTTGATTTCCAATTCCAAGTCATTATCTATTAGATCACCCATACATCCAAACTTACAGCACCTGGTATTTCCAAGCTGTCATCTATCTAGGTACTGACCAGGCTCAGTGTTGCTTAACTTCAGTGATTGTAAGAAAAATGTTTAACACAAAGAGAAGAAAGTAGTTTAGCAAAATAAGTTAAAGCAATAAATATAAAAAGCAAAACTGGTCAAACATGATAATCAAGGTAATCTCAAATGCTCCATGAAGAAGGTAATCCTATATATTATAGGATAGATATTAGCAGAGTTGCTTCATTAAATGAATGATGTAAAATTATTTTTTGTGTGATAGATTCTCCTATTGTTTTTTAACACATGAGGGCCAAAAGTTTAGTTTTTGGTTTACTCCACATTTTAATGTTAGACTTTTGTGAAAGAAGCTTGCTCTACTTTAGCAAATTACATCTTTCACACAAAATGTTATTCCAAATATCACATTCATTAATCAACTGCTCATTTGAGACATTGTCTTTCTATGTGAAACCAAATATTCCCATGACATCTCTTATAGAAAGTATGTAACTGTATTATATGCTTTCTATGTGGTATCTATGATTTGAACCCATACAGTAATGTAAGATGCATGGTAAACTGGAATTTTGGTTTTCAAACTCACTCCTTTCTTGTTCCAAAGCCTTGATTGCCACCTTTCCAGAGGTGTCAGTAGCCTTAGCAATTATATTTACTATTTCATCATAAGAAACACTAAAGTTGATTTTACTCCCTAATCATGGGAAAGATTTCACATACTTGAAAGGATTGTTGTCCACAAAAACTTGACATGATGATGCAATGTATTGGAGTCAAGCTAGTATTGTATTATGCCTCTCCTTTCAATATATGTAGGTGTTATATAGGAATAAACCGACACTACCAACACTGTAGAATGAACATAGATTGCCAGAGAGCAAACACAGGTGATCACATTTTGAATTAAGATCACATGACTGTAAAGGGAAACACATAAATGGGAATTAGTGTGTCGTCTAATTGAGCAGCATTTCTATTCTATCCTCTATTACTATTACAGATTACTATTCAGTGGTTACTTTTTCAGCAAGTACTATTAGTGCAAGTGTTATCTGAAGGCATTTGACACCAGTATTGTTTCAGTGGCGTTACTCTAGTTTTATCTGCAATTACAAAGTCTCTACTACAATGAGCACCACAAAGGTGACAACAAGTATTTGTTGGCACCCGAAAGGTGGCACCGCGTGTTCGTTGGCACCCGAAAGGTGGCACCGCGTGTTCGTTGGCACCCGAAAGGTGGCACCGCGTGTTCGTTGGCACCCGAAAGGTGGCACCGCGTGTTCGTTGGCACCCGAAAGGTGGCACCGCGTGTTCGTTGGCACCCGAAAGGTGGCACCGCGTGTTAACTGGTGGCCGAAGGTTCATACTTAAAGGCGAATGCTGCGGTTCATACCGAAAGGTGGCACCGCTGTGTTCGCTATAACCCGAAAGGTGGTAATCGCTGCGGTTCGTTAACCGAAGGTGGCACAGGTGGTTGGCACCCGGTTCACAGCGTATAACTGGAAGGTATAATCGCTGTTCGTTGGCACCGAAAGGTGGTAATCATGGTTCATGGCATCACAAAAGTAGGTTTTGGCTGGTAATTATCTTTTGTTCACTTATTGTAAATAGCAAATAAATCCGATGCCATTATGCATCCTTGCTTTGTCTCATTTTTAACATGAAAAGGATCTGATGAAATGTTATATGACTTAATAGAAGCTTCTGTGTTTTCTTGGAAGGATATTATAGCATTGAGCAATATATCATGCCTATGGTCTTCCACTCAGCCTTGGCTTCAAGATCTACAAGGTTTCATCATTATTCTTTTAAGAATAACTCTAGTGAGAGAGCAATGATATACTCCACTTCACTTAAATAGATAGGTAATGGAGTTATCTTTAAATTCCTGAGGAATCTGACCATGCTTCCAAATCCTGACAAACAACTACAAGAGCTTACACATAGATATGTTACCTCCATACTTGTATACTTTGGCAGGTATTGTGTCACCAGCATTTGCTTTATAACTTTTTGATTTTCACATGTCGGATAAAAATCTAGTTGAAGAATTTCTGGCCTTTTTAAAACAACTGAAATAATGATATTTTGTTCCGCATTAGATGGAGAATTTAAAACAGTTTAAAGTGTTCTTTCCGACAATTAAGAATGTCACTTTCATCAGTAAATTCATTTGATGTTAATATTGGTGAGACTTCACATTGCTGAATGCTATTAGCTTGTTTTATACACCTTCATAGAAATCTTTTGTGTCCTTTCTATCAGCAACATCTTGTAACTGCTTTTGATGACCACCACTCTTCTTTCATCCTCCTTAAGCCCCTTCAACAGCTTACAGACCAAATGTTTCTGTTTTACTGAAGATTTTGTTTGTAATCCATACCTTATGAATAGAATGGTTTTTTGTTTTTGTTTTTTTTCAGTTAGTGCCTGTATTTCTGTATTGTCTTCATCAAGCCAATCTTGATATTTACGCTTTGCTATATATATATATATATATATATATATATATATATATATATATATATATATATATATATATATATATATATACACACACACACACACACACACACACACACATTATGAAATGGACTAAGTCTGACAATTATTTTAATATATTTTCTGTTTATACATTATAAGTAAGTACCTTAACCATATAGTTGTCTTTAGAGATATAGATTCTAATGCCATTTCCTCAAAGTATTCCATGTATATATTCGCCATTGCTGGTGATAATGGTGAGCCCATTGCTAAGCCCTCATCCTGTCGATATATGTGTGATCCGATTCCAAAGTGTGTTGTTTGTGTACAGAAAGTCAACATCTCCATCAGATTATCAGCACATATGCTAAGCCCCAAAAATCTCCTGAGCCAACCAAGCATAGAAATATATGAGTTCTGGTAAAAACATGTATTGATAACAGCAAAAATTGCAATATGAGCACTGGTAAAAAAATGGTTGCTGAAGACATTAGGTTTATAATACACAGATGTCCTCAAGGACACATGGCACAGTGGATAAAGGTGTTAGATCCAGTGACAGGACCCAAAGAGTGTGAGTTCCATGGAGAACTTTCAGAGGGAAATTAACAGGAGATAACTGATAACTGACATCCATGTGGAACTAGAAATAAAGGGTTCAGTTCGACATTCCAACCACCTGAAGAAGGCCGGAGCATACAATGCCCGAAACAATAAATATGGGGACAAAGATGAGGAAAATAGTCTGAATAATGTAAATAATATACCCACATACATAACCAAAAACATTTGCGATTTCTCTCTTTTTTAGAAATATACATTTTTCTCTTTGTTGGAACTACTGTAACAACCTTATATATATATATATATATATATATATATATATATATATATATATATATATATATATATTTTATAAACATTTTTTAGCAAATGTAAACCTGATGTAATTCAATTATTTTTAAATAAAGAGAGGCACAGTTATTGAATGAATTACAGAATATTCAATATTTTTTGTTTAATAAAGGACAATTTTTTTTAATGATTACTAATAAATTATTTTATATAAAACCACAAATATAAAAAAGTAAACTTTTAACAAAACCACATTAAACAAAATTCTATTTATTGATATACATAAAGTCTACATCATTCAGTTATTTTTAAATGATGTCAATAAATCAAAATGTAAAGATTAAATAATGTTAAGTTTAAATATTATTATTAATGTTCATCATTATTGATGTTATTTTGATATGCTACACAGGCAATGGCAAGTCTCCCTGATAGTAAATGAATGTCTTGTTTTTCTGGTGACCAGAAAGTCCTGGAGTGAGGGATGGGAAGTTTATCATTTTGCTTTCTGGCTAGGAAAATTTCAG